GTTGGGGGCACACTTGTGTGGTAATTTTTATACATATTAATAAACTATCCTACCTCTATGTATTGAGTTTAACATGTTATGATGAAACTGATGATTAGTTTATTACTAAGCAGTCATGGCAGCATACTCTCAAATGTAAGTAGGGTGACCAGACATTCCGACATTATCGGGACCGTTCCTATATTAGGGGCTTTGTCTTATATATGCAATATACCTAATGCCCTGGGGAGAAAAAAAAATGGTCATCCCAATTTTTCATACTTGCTATCCAGTCACCCTAAATGTTTGAACATAGGTGTCACTGTAATAAAAATGTGACTGATTGATTGCAGTGTGGGCCATGTTGGTGCTCCAAGGACTAGTTACGGACATGTAGGAGAAATATAAATTGAGATGGTAGCACATGCCAGGATTGAAGGGAGGTGCAATTAGTTTCATTTTCCTGAAGGGAGGCTCAGCTTTCAAAAATTTGGGATATGCTGCTGCTAACTGTGCTAAAATGAAACCAAATTAAGTGGTGAAATTTGGTTTTCAAGGTTGGACGAAGAGCCAGTCAGGATATAAAACTTTACATAACTGATGATCAGTATAAATTGAACCTCAAGTCATCTGTCGAAGACATACCTCTGCAACACAAATCCTAGAAATAGCTGAAATATGAGTTTTCAGTCATTTTGATAATTTTTTAAATAAAGTGTCATTAGAACATGCAGCATTGCAAACAGTCAACTGCATGTTTTTCATTTTGGTGGCATTGATAATTAGAAGTCTTGAGAAATTATGGCTCATTTCCAGAGGAAGACATTAGAAATATGTGAGACTGTAAAACGCCCTGTCTTGTGACATACAGTAACAACACAGAAAATTGCAAGTGGGTGACTGCAGTGATTTATTGAAATATCTAAGGAGGAAAGCAATATTATGAAATTATATTTAAACTGATGACTACTGCAGTTATGCTTATTATATATGAAGTGCCTGCGGTAGTTATTAAATTGGGAACAGGCAGCAGGTTAGTTTATATAACTAAATATATTGTCCACAAGAGATTTTACTCTAATTAATTGGCCACCATTGTGTGTGATTGGGTCTCTCTCGTAGTGTACTTGAGGGTGTCTCATGGACCTGTACAGGAATTATATAGCTATAACCAGAAGTTATGAGAGTGGTTCTCAAAACATGGTAACATCAATGCTGTCCATTTAATGAATATTAGAGTATAGTTTTGGACCCTGATGGCCAAACTCTGAACTGATGAAACAAGCCTTGTAGCCCCATTGACTTCAGTGAAGTCATACCTGACGGATAGCAGTCTAGAATTTGGCCCCAATAGCACAAAGTTATGTTCTGGTTTGCTGGTGCACCCATTTTGAAATGTTGCCATGATGTGTCGACTCCCAGTGATGCACAGTTGGGGCTTTATCACCAAACACACGTTAAGTATCCATTGTGCTGAATGTTTCATGCATAAGGAAATAGCTGAGAGATGGGAGGTAAAAATAAAGATTTTTATCTTTCTCCCATATTTTTATTTGCAGTTAAAGAAAAACATTCAGAAATTAGCTGCAAAACACCCGCAGATTAAGGCTAGCAAACCTCTCTCCCCAACAACCTCTTCTCCCTTTCCTGTTCTCAACAACCTCCCTTTCCTCTTTGTCCCCTTTCTCAGCTGCCTCTCTTTACTTTTTCTATCTCTAATCCCTCAGATCTTTCTCTCCGTTGCTAAATTCCCTGAAGTTGATAGACAAAAGAGAGACATCTAAACAGGAAGAGAAGGGAGCGGGGGGTGGAGGGGGGGAGAAAGCCGTGGATGAGCCCATAACCTTAAATGTCCTTTAGGGAGCAGTTTATGGCCCACAGAACATATGGAACTCACATTTGATTGTAAAAATATATTAGAAGCGTTTAACCAATGTGTGTTTTTCAGTAGAAAGTCAAAGTTGAAAATGGCAATTGGTCCTACCTACTCCGCTAGAGCCAATCTTCAACCTAGGAGTGAACAACTGGGTCTCTTGCCAACAAACTGCTTTCCTGGTCTCCAGAAGGAGATCAAGGCCTTCCCATCCTCCCAGCTACAAATGAATCAATATGATTGTTCATCCCTAGAAGATGAGAGACCCAGTGAATTTCTAAAATGCTTTAAGGGAGAAAGCTGTGCAGGACCAGTGATCCTCTACTCCCACAATAATCAGTGATCTCCTTTACCTCCACACTGCACCTCCGCATGCCAGGTTGACAGCCCTGGAATCTGAGCTCTTCCTCCATAAAGCACGGTCACAGTCAACAGCAGTGCAAGCTTTTCTTCCCTGCCAATGTGCTACAACCCTCACCTGGAGGGACCTGTTTCTATTCAGTGTTTGGTTTCTTTGTTGGTATTGCCAGCAAAAATTCCAGTAGTTGTGCTTTTTGCAATGTGGTCTCTTCTCTCTGGGTAGAACAATTCACACAGGCCATTAAGCAGGCTCCATGCTATTACCAATCTCTTCTTTCAAGTAATTTTTAGAGCAGCCACATTTTGGTTTCTTTCTCTAATTTCTTTTCTTAGCAGCAGAGGCAGATGCAGGAAAGATTGCCCAACCTTTAGCTCTGGGTGTGTTGCAACTGTCTGAAAAGATTGCCCAATGTATTAGTCTTGTTTTTCTTCTAAGGAAAGAGAGAAATATGCACGGCTATTTTGGAGATGATTTTTAAAAGGGATAATTTGTGGTGTGAATAAGGAACTCAATCCGTCTTTGAAATACTGAATAAAATTCCCTAGGATATGACAGAACCTGAGAGAAGTATTTATACCTTTCGGCTGAGAGAAGTGTGAAAAGACTAGAACTATTTTTTTTTCCTAACTGTAGCAAGAGTGCCTGTTCAGTTACTTCTGCGTTTAGCCCTGAAAATCATTTCTGAATTCCATTGAATGAACAGTCATAAATTTGTAAACCTATTATACTTCTGAACCAAGATTGTGGCAGTTTCTTGATGCGAGGATTGTGTGTTTTCCAACTCTGTATTAAGAGCCAATGGCTATGGCTACACTGGCACTTGACAGCACTGTAACTTTCTCGCTCAGGGGTGTGAAAAAACACCCCCTCGTGCGCAGCAAGTTACAGCGCTGCAAAGCGCCAGTGTGAACAGTGCCCCAGCGCTCTAAGCTAATCCCCTCGTGGAGGTGGAGTACCAGGAGCGCTGGGAGAGCTCTCCCCCAGCGCTGGAGCGTGACCACGCTCTCACTTCAGAGCACTGCCACGGGAGCGCTTTGAAGTTTCGAGTGTAGCCATACTCTTAGACCAGACACTCTGGGGGGGTGCAGTGGCATGAAATTTAAGAGGTGTGGGATATAATGTGATATTTCTTCCTGTTACCAAGAGTATTCTGGCAAGAGTGTACAGGCTGTACGATATGTGCCTTTCAAGACTCTGATAAATGATTAGGTGGATAGTTTAGCCTATTGTTGCCAGTGAGAGCACATATTCAAGGGACTTATACAGCTAACGTATTTATGCCTTAATCCGGCCTGATAGTATAATATCATTTGACATTTCTTGCATATGTTTTCTATCAGTTTCAAATATTTCTCTTTATTCCACCATGTCATTATAGACAACTAACCAAAATAAAGAGGAGCAGGAGTTTATTCACCCATAAACTATATTTTAAAATGTTCTGTATTTTGTTCCAGTTCTTTGATTGAATAACACAGTGATCCTGAAATTAAGTGATTGCTTCACTGTCTTGGTCTGCAGAATTTTCTTTTAGAAAATTTCCTTTGCAGCGTTACCTTGGCGGTTGAAGAAACCACGGCTTCTAATTTTGGAAATACTAGTACAAAACACCTGATGTGTGCATGCCTATGCTTTGGTGCATGTGAACCCCGAACTTGTGTGTGTGAATCAGGTGTTTTCACCCCTACTTCTTTGTGTGCATCATGTACAGACTTCTAAAAATGTAGCTTTATCTGAATTGATACTGGCTTTGTGAGATGGAAGTTTGTGCATGGGCAGGGAGAAGTAACACACAGGTGGCAATTTTCAGGAGAAATGCTTCAATGACTAGATCATCATATTTTAGAGCTGATATTTTGTATAAATACAAAAATACCTTTGGATAATGGATTATATTTAATGGCCAAAACGTAATCATTTATGACCTTCAAAAGAATTCGGTTGGCCAGGTTTTGCCTTTAGGCACAGCCTTGTGTAAGCTGTTTACCTGTATACTGCCCTAGGAGGAGCCCAAAGTTCTTTCCCTGCTCCCCGCTTATTTCCAAGTGAGAGTAACCTGCCGTACTATAGCAGTAGCAGATTACTACCTTTGCCCCCATGATGCCTCAACTCTACTGGCTGTAGTACGTGTATGGGGGGGGGGGGCTGGGGGTGGAGCCAAAACTGTATCATCCCTCCACTCCTCACCCACATGTACAGGGGAGGGGGAACTACCAGGCATGCAGCCCCTTCTCTTCCACTGCATGCCTGGAACTGGGAGGAGGGGAGGGAAGGGTATATCGACACATAGGGTTAGAGCAGGATCTGGCCCTAAATCATTAGGTATGTTTCTCATATTTTCTTGATAATTGGATGATAGAGTTCCAAAGAAGAGTCAGAGATGCATCCTCTTAGACACAGTATATTCACAGCATACAAACTTTCACACAGAATAGAAGCCAAATGTCTGTTGACCCACAGTGTACCCATAAAAGTGTGGGCCTCGCACCAATGCTTCCACACTAAGGATATTACTGGTAAGGTGGAAGTGCTTTGTCAGAGCTGTGTGAAGAAGGCTGCCATGGGCTCTACTCCCCCCCCCCCCGTTTTACTTGTACGATCACTGAAAAAGAAAAAGTAACTAGTTCAACGATTTGTAGTTGTGGACATTCCTTGGCTATTAATTTTACGTAATATCTTTTGTTAATAGAGAAACGTGCGTGAGCACATATTAGCATGATAAAAACAAACTGCAACACACGGGGCATCCCACATCTCATCGCATGCTTGTTTGTTTTCTTGTCTTAGGATAAAGAAGCCCAGAAAGATTTAGAAGCTTTACTTCTAACGTTGCAGCTGTGACGAAAAGCACTTTTAGCTCTTCATGCCGTGATGATATTGTAGAAGAACCATAGAGAATAGTCCCTGGGAGTCTGATCCAAAGCTCATGGAAGCAAGTGGAAAGACTGCCTTTGACTTCAGTCATTTTTGGATCAGGCCCTGTAAGTGGATGGCAATTGGGATATGAAATTGATGCATTCTATCTTTTTGATTCATAGCTTTATTTTTAATTTTTGGATCTACGGTTTGTTTTAAATTATTCTTGCTTATAATCTCTCATTATAAAGTCCACTGCTGGCAATGGACACCACATAGGTGAGAACACCAAATGCATTAACTGTATTCTTGGAATGATTAATCAACTAAACTGCAATGCTAGCACAGAATTATATGGAGCAATTTCTTTGTTTCTACATTAAATTATGTTTCTACGAATTTATCTATATAAATGTATATGAAGGTACATCATAAACCTATGTATGTGTGTTCCTCTGCTTTTACTCACAAGAAATGTGTAAGACTGATGGAAGTTAAGGAAAAAGGGATAGTCTTAAAAAAAACTATTTTGACTTTAGCCTATTTTTAATTTTAGATGGAAGTGTGAACACTTTATAAATCATGTTTTAAAGTCATATTTTATGTTACTTGAAGGGAAAATATTAAAAATTGGACCAATGAAATGAAATATTGTGGTTAAATCTGTTAGAAGTGTGATACTTGAGCCCCACCAGGTAGATGAATCCTGGTCATTTGTCTTTGAATAATAAATAGCCTGTTGCGGTATTGTCAGTCTGGCTTTGAGAGCCCCTTCCCCCATGTGTAACATTTGTTGATCTTTCATGTCATTTGTGTAATGTGGCTTATGTATACATATGTAATAACTGAGACCTGTTTCTTCTGCTTAATCAAACCAAGAGTTTATGGAACAGTAGGAGTTTAAATGTTAGAGGAAAGGCAGAGAAATCGTTTTGTTTGCTCAGGGCCTGATCCAAAACCCACTGAAGTCAGTGAAAAAACTCCGACTGCCCTTAATGAATTATGGGTCATGATCTTAATCTGGATTAAAGTATGTGGCCAGAACAAGAAAATGTTCCCATAAATGAAACATAAAAACAGGTGAATATATAAGCAAGAGCCAGTGAATATATGAGCAAGAGCAAGCATCATTTCAGACAAAGGGCCATATATTTTCCTTTATGTTTAAAACATCCAGGAGAGGAGCACTCACTTCCCTAGTTTCATGCAATGTTGTTATAGCCATGTTGGTCCGAGGATATCAGAGAGACAAGGTGGGTGAGGTAACATTTTTTATTGGACCAACTTCTGTTGGTGAAAGACCTGAAGGAGAGCTCTGTGTATCTCAAAAGCTTGTCTCTTTCACCAGCAGAAGTTCGACCAGTGAAAGGTATTTCCTCACCCACCTTGGTTCCCTAGTTTCATCACCTTTAGGGAACTACTGATTGACTTCATTAACTTCTTGGAACCTTTAGGCAGCGTGGAAGAGACCGAGCTACTACCAATATATAGCTGTGACCTCTGCTTATCATGCTGACTAGTATTATTGTTTTCTTATGCTCTCCCAATCTGCTTGAATCTCTGTCTCTTTTCTTATGCTTAGATTGTAAGCTCTCTGGGACAATGATTTTTTTGTACCGTGTTGTATAGGGCTAAGTGCAGTGCTTTACTGCAATAAAAGTAATACTCTCAGATATTGCTTGCTGATCTCCATCCTAGTCATGGATCAGGATTACATTGCAGCAGGCACGTACATTCATATAGTAAGAGACAGTCCCTGCCTCAAAGAGCTTACAGTCTCAATCATGTTTTGTAATATTAATTTAGTAGGTCGTATATCAACAGTAAGTATGTCATAATGAAAATTTTACATTTAGAGAGCTACCATCTTTCATTCTGCAGAATCCCAAAGTTCTTTACCAAGCTTCACTAAATTCGCTAAACCACCATCTCTCAAAGCAATATAGAAGCTGTTAAAAAGCACTAGGTGACCAAATAGTTTAGTAAACAAAGTGAAAACTCCTCTATCCAATTATTTTTTAAAACTCTTATAATATTTAAAGCATCTCCAAAAATATGGAAAGGAAGCTACCAGGGGAATGTAGGTAGACATGGATTTACTATCTATCTACCTATTTCTGTCTCTATATAGATCTTTGCATTCTTACTTCTGCCCCTCACGATTGTATCTGAACATCTTCCATGTAAAGTTGTTAGCACCTGTGAAGTCCCTAGTGAACTCCAGGGAATTTGGGGGATTTACCTACAAAGGAATGTATGTGGTCCTCCGATTTTTTTTAATGAGCACAAGAAGTCACAACCTATACTTTAAATCTTATCCAAAACACAGCAACTCCTGTGGTACAGTGACCACCAGCCATCCTAGTTTTCCGTGATATAAAAGCCCAAAATTCTCCAATAAAAACACACAAAAATGCACGTTTTTTTCTGTGATTAAAATGAAAGCTGACAGCCGGAGCCCCACTGCCTGGGGCTGACAGCCAGAGCCCAGCCGCCCGAGGCTGAAGTGTCAATTTCCCATATTCCTGTGCATGCACTAGTGGTATGCGGTTCTATTGTATATGGCTTTTTTTTTCCCCACAAAATGTAAAAACTAAATATTCTTTGTAAAAATGCAAATTCCACATTTTTCCATGGGAAATGGATCCCTCGTGACCATGAATACTATGCTCCAACATTTATTCAATACAAATTCAGAGGAGAGAGCAGTACCTGCTTAATCACCAACATCACTTCCTGCAGCACCTGGATTTTCCTTTATACCTAAAGTTATGCTGTGATTTTTAGTGCTTTATGTACCGCAGATCCTCTCAAGTAGACCTTGAAACAAATCAAACTGACTGTGAGATCATTCCTGGCGGTGTATAAAAAGCAAGCTTTTCTGATCCATTGTATGTCTGTGTAACCCCTGCATTATGTCACTGGTAAACAAAATACTAGAATGAAAATGAGAACAGGTTTCTGTTTCCTTAAAATGTTAACCCTTTTCAATAAAACGTTTTACTAAATTTCAGTAAACAGGCAGAGATTTTAGAACTGTATTAAGAGGGCTAGAGCAATAGACTGGGACTCAGGAGCTCTGGGTTTCAGTCCTGGTTCTGTCAGTGATCTGCTGGGTGAGCTTAGACAAGTCACCTCACCTCTGTTTCCTTTCCCATCCCATGTCTTCCTAGACTGTAAGCTGTCTGAGAGAGGGACTGTCTGCTACTCTGTGTTTGTACAGCACCTAGCCCAAATGAGGCACTGCTGTCATATAAATGATTTTCACTGGGTACCAATGGGGCTCTGATAGAAACAACACATTTAAAGGCTGTCAGCTGTGAATGGGGATAAACTTTTCCAGCCTAACAAGTAAAGAGAACTGGAGTTATGGTTTCTAGTTTATAGAAAGAGATGACCAGTGTGGCGGATAGAATTTCAACAGCTGGATATGTCCGAAAGAGTCATTCTTCTTTGAATAGTGTCCCTATGGATAGAATCATAGAACTGAACCTCGAGAAGTCATCTAGTTCAGTCCCCTGCACTCAAGGCAGGACTAAGTATTATCTAGACCATCCCTGACAGGTGTTTGTCCAACCCGCTCTTAAAAATCCCCAATGATGGAGTTTCCACCACTTCCCTAGGCAGTTTATTCCACTGCTTAACCATCCTGACAAATAGAAAACTTTTCTTAATGTCCAACCTAAACCTGTCTTGCTGCAATTTAAGCGCGTTGCTTCTTCTCCTATCCTCAGAGGTTAAGAAAAACAATTTTTGTTCCTTCTCCTTGTAACCACCTTTTACATAATTGAAAACTGTTATCATGTCCCCCCTCAGTCTTCTCTTCTCCAGACTAAACAAACCCAGCTTTTTCAATCTTCCCTCATAGGTCATTTTTTCTAGAACTTTAATCAGTTTTGTTGCTCTTCTCTGGATTTTCTCCAATTTGTCCACATCTTTCCTGAAATGTGGTGCCCTGAACTGGGCACAATACTCCAGCTGAAGCCTAATCATCACGGAGTAGAGGGGAAGAATTACTTCTCGTGTCTTGCTTACAATACTGCCAGTACATCCCAGAATGCTGTTTGCTTCTTTTGCAACAGCGTTACACTGTTGACTTATATTTAGCTTGTGGTCCACACCACCAGATCCCTTCCCACAGTACTCCTTCCTAGGCTGTCATTTCCCATTGTGTAGGTGTGCAACTGATTGTTCCTTCCTAAGTGGAGTTCTTTCGATTTGTCTTTATTAATTTCATCCTTTTTACTTCAGACCATTTCTCAAGTTTGTCCAGATTATTTTGAATTTTAATCCTCTCCTCCAAAGCACTTGCAACCCCTCTCAGCTTTGTGTCATCCGCAGACTTTATAAGTGTACTCTCTATGCCATTATCTAAATCATTGATGAAGATATTGAACAGAACTGTACCCCGAATCGATCCCTGTGGGACCCCACTCATTATGCCCTTCCAGTATGACTGGGAACCACTGATAACTACTCTCTGGAACGATTTTCCAACCAGTTATGCACCCACCTTATAGTAGATCCATCTAGGTTGTATTTCCCTGGTTTGTTTATGAGACGATAATGCGAGACAGTATCAAAAGCCTTACGAAAGTCCAGATATACCACATCTACCGCTTACCCCCATCCACAAGGCTTGTTACCCTGTCAAAGAAAGCTATCAGGTTGGTTTGACACAATTTGTTCTTGACAAATCCATGCTGATTGTTGTTTATCACCTTATTATCTTCTGGTGTTTGCAAATTGATTGCTTCATTATTTGCTCCATTATCTTTCCGGGTACAGAAGTTAAGCTGACTGGTCTGTAATTCCCCAGGTTGTCCTTATTTCCCTTTTAATAGATGGGCACTATATTTGCCCTTTTCCAAGATGCTCCACTTCAGGTGCATGTATGCATCTTGAGCCCTTGATCAGAGATTTTTAGCTAGCAGTGCCCATTTGGCCCACACGTGCTCCCCATGCCTCCTTGTGGCGGACAGCAAGACTATATAGGGACATATGGGTGAACCACATTCAGTTCTTTCTCTCCCTCTTCAGCCCAAGACAGAACACTAGTGTGTCCACCTATTCATATCCTAATGAATAGGTGTAAGGGGGCTCCCATTTCTGCCCAAAGACTTTCAAAATGGATATTGGGTCAAGTCTGCAGGTGCTCAGACCCCTGCTGGTGGTGAGAGCACATTCAACCAGATCAGAAGTGCCGTCTACTGCTTTTTTGAAGAATACCCTGGTATCTGAGATAGGTAGCGCCGCTACCAGGTCTTCAGTCCATCGTTTTCAAAACATTACACCCTGTTCCGTGCCATCAGATCTGATGTGGTACTTGGCTCTGCAGTACTATCTTCAGTTCTGGATCCTGTTCTGAAGCTCCTTTCTCCTTCTGGGGATACTGTTTGGAAATCACCCGACATGGAGCACCGCTAGGGATGCTACTCGAAGAAGGAGGAAATGTTACTCACCCTGTACAGTAACTATAGTTCTTCAAGATGTGTCCCCCTATGGGTGCTCCAGTACCCATCCTGCTTCCCCTCTGCTTCAGTCGTTCCCTAGGGGATGACTGAGAGGAAAAGGAACTGGGGGTGGTTCACCCACACACCCCTATATAGCCCCGGTCTTGGTGTCTGCCACTAGGAGGCATAGGACACCTGTGTGGGCCAAATGGGCACTGCTAGCTAGAAATTTCTGATCAAGGGCTCAGGAGGTGCATGTGCACCTGAAGTGGAACACCCGTCCGAAGAAAGAATTGCAGTTACTTCACAGGGTAACATTTCCTTTACAATGTTGAGGAGTCAAATAAGGGCCAGGATAGCAAAGTTGGTGCAAGTTGTTTCCCAAGTTTAGGAACTCAGACGTTCATTTTTTCATCTTGCTGATGCTGGAGAGAATCTTCTAGGGAGAAATAAAAATCTTCTGTAAGACTCCTGATTGTGTCTTGTTATCTAGCGTGGGTAGTTTCCAAAACACTGGGTAAAATCTTATAATGTCTCTCCTCCTTCGGTTCACAATATAAAGTAGTGTATTAAGTTTTAAAGCAATACCTAAGGTTATCAGATCTTCAAAATAAAAAAAACAGGATGCTTTCGTGGGAACATTTTTAGTGTGACAAAATATTCATACAAAAGAACATTTAAGAATGCGTGTTGGCATCACTGTATGCCAGCTTCTGACTCAGCAGAACATGTGCTCTTTGCTCCGGAGTGGAGAATGTGTTCTGCTTAATGTTCTGAATGAGTTTATCATGTAACCCTGCACAATCATAATGAACATTCAGTTAAGAGTAGTTTGAGGAGTGTCTACACTCATTTGACTTTTCTGTTTGCTCAACACACTGTGGATCACACTAAACACTGGTTGTACTGGACTGTTTATTCCTGGCAAAGGCCCCACTGAAATCAATGGCAAAACTCCCTTTGACTTCAGTGGGGTCAGGATTGCACCCTGAGAGTGAGATTTTCAAAAGCAGCCAGCTGACTTTCAGTGGGATTTGTTGCTCCTTAGCAGTTAGGCACTTTTGAAAATCTCACCCAGAGTAAATTCTACTCATTATAGAAAAGCCTTGAACAAATGTTTTGCAGTTATTATATAACTAATGTTTTTATTGGTTAAATGAAAAACTGAGACTTTTCCGGTGTCTTGAAAGAAGTTCCTGGGATAATGGGACATCATATGAAAAACCAGGACAAATGGTCATTTCAGCAATAGCTTAAATCAATAGTCCATCAGCAGTGGTTTTCTTAAAACCCATTAGTTCTATATTTTTTATTACAGATTAATAGATTTTAAGGCCAGAAGGGACTGTTATGAGCATCTAATCTGACCTCCTATATAACACAGGCTATAGTTTTTCACCCTGTTATTACACTGTTTATGCTGCCTTGAAGGCGTGTCTAATTACATCACTTAGGGTGGGGTTCACAAAGGTACTTAGATACTTAAGTCCTGTTTTTAGGTGCCAGTGTGATTCACAAAAATTCCTATTCATCTGGAACCTAACCGTGTAGGTGCCTAAAGTATTCTGGTGCCTATATTTTTTGCAGTAAAAGTTCTGAAGACATCTGTGTTTCTGCCTCTGAGCAAGTGTGCTGCTGGCTCACTCTAGGCATCTGGGTATCTATCTCCCACCTAAGCCCCAGAGTGATCCACAAACCAGAAGAAAGATTGACATGTGGCTGGCTGAGTCACAAGTGGGGCCTTATCCATTAGTAAGGCTATGTTTTAATCATGGGTATTTTTAGTAAAAGTCATGGACAGGTCACGGGCAAGAAACAAAATCATGACTCATGACCTGTCCATGACTTATACCATAAATACCTCTGACTGAATCTTAGGAGAGGAGCGCTGCTGGAGGAGGAGGGGAGCCTTTGGCACCCAGGACAGGGGCTCCCGCAGCCCCTGTGACCACTGCTCAGGCGGTCCCCGGGGCCAGCTGCATCAGCCGCTGCTCAGGCGGTCCCTGGGGCCAGCTGCATTGGCTGCTGCTCGGGCGGTCCCCTGGGCTGGCTGCCCGGGACCGTCTGAGCAGCAGCCGGGACTGGGGCTGCTCCAGCAGCACAAGTCAGCTCACTGTGGGGCTGCCCAGGCGGCTGGCTGCAGAGCCATTTCAGCAGCAGCCATTGGGGGCTCCCCCAGGGCCTCCTGAGCAGCTGGCCGCAGGGTCAGCCACGCTGGCCACTGCAGAAGTCACAGAAAGTCACGGAATCCATAACCTCTGTGACAAACCTGGACCCCTATCCATTAGGTGTATGCAAAGGTTGCCTAACTCTACAAAACAGCCAAGGGGACGGCCCCCTCTCTTGTAAACTTTAGCCCACTGGCTAGGGCACTCACCTGTGTTGTGAGAAACTGCTAATTCAATTCCCCCCTCTGCCTGAAGAAGAGGAAGTTATCTGCTACCTCTGAGGTGAGTGCCCTAACCGCTAGGCTATAGAATGACTGTCTATCCCAGTGGTTAGATCACTTACCTGAGGGGTGGCAGAGCCTTGTTTAA